TATTGTCTGACCAAGACGCCGTCTCCGATGATTGACCACTAAATACCCACTTGTGACAGTAGTACCACAGTTGGTATCACAATGGTCTCAAAGTTTACTTGGTGTGTTTTGGATATCTCATTATATGTATTTTGGGTATCATATTGTGTATTTTGGTGTATTTTAAGTATTACATGGTGTTCGTTGGAGGCTGGAGGTAGGAGAGAGAGAGAGAGAAGGGAGAGATAAAAAATTTAAAATACCTAAAATGTTTTTTAATTATAATTTTAAATCAAATTACCAAAAATATTAGTTTTCTAATTTATCTATTGATTTGTGGTTGAAATTGGATCTCATAATTATCACAAACTAATTAGTTCTCTCTTGAATAAACTCCTACATACATGTACATACGTGTGTGTATATATATATATATAAGAGATTAAAATATAAATTTTTAAAATTTAAAATACAATATTCATTAAAAATAACTAAACTTGCCTACTACAATAATTAAGCGGTATCCCTTCGATTGGGCTGAATTAATGATATGGGGCCCAGGTGTTTTCACTTTTCAGGCCCTTTAAACATTGATGATCGTTCATGATGATAAGATAACTAAATATAATATTCAAAATTGTTTTTCCAAAAAAATAAATATTATAAGAAATTTAGATTTAGAGATATCAAAATAGGTTAGGATGGCGTTTGTTTTTTAAGATGTGTTGAATTCTGAAGTCTTATTTTACTTCTGATTAATAAGAAGTGGTGTTGAATTCTGAATCAATAAAACTGTTTGTCCTTGTAAACTGACAAACGTTTGAAGTCTGAAACCTGAATTAATAATTTGTTTTTGTAAAATCAAGAGCAAACATTTTACAAAATTCTCTTGATTTTCATAAAATTTCTATTGCTAAAATTCATCCCAACAACTGCTTAACAGATGTAGCTCAATAAAAACATTTTGGATACCTTTCAGATTTCCGATGTTATCAGTAATGACTTAATCTATAATTTCGGGATCGAAAAATAATATATTATTAAAAAGATATTATGATATTATGAAATAAAATAATAATAAAGTCAATCATGCTTATCCTTTCCATTTTCTTTTTTATAAAATTTTGGATTTTTATTATTTAAATATATATTTATGTTCCTTACATTGATATTTTGTAAAGAAAATGTATTTGATGATGGAAGTTGTACAAATACATTTTTTAGAGTTATCGTAGATAATACGATTGTATTTTGAAGCCGAACACGGTACGAGACCGATATCATGTCGGTTTATTAGAGAAAATTCATTGGCATATAACATGTCAACACGGTTTATATATACAAACATGTGAGAACCGATCTCTTTTTGCATGCTCTTTTTTCATCAACGGTTATGATTTATTGTATTGTTTGACGTACGTTTGTTGGTTTGCGTTCACTTGCAGGAAAAAGAGACATGTGAAACTTTTTTTTTTGCTTCACATTGTGAAACGACAAATACATGTTAAAATGTTTCATATTGTGAAAGTAATTAATTACGAAAGAGAAATATGTTAGTAATACCTCAAATTCTAGTTTTAATTAAAAAAAAAAATCACGTGAACGAATGTGTTGAGATTGGTTCTCATGGGTTTGTAACCTTTTTGTTATTCTCATGGTTGGGTTTTGATAAGAATCAAAGTTATAGTGAGAAAGCTTGTAACCATTGATGCATATACAATATATAACAAATATGTATTATGTCATTTATCAATGCATATCTAATATATATATATATATATATATATATATATATATAGAGAGAGAGAGAGAGAGAGAGAGAGAGATTCGGTTTCATACAAGAATAATACATATCTATGAAAATAAAAAAAATGGTCGAATCACATATGATTTTACACTAACATCACGTACAAATTCATATGTGATTCACGCGATCTTGCCATGCGACCTTACCACGCGGCCATAGGGTCGCTCGCACCCTTTTTGGCCGTTAATGTAAAACCACATATGATTTTATACGTAATTCAATCATTTTTTTTCTTTCAAATATGTTGTTTCACCGGTGAAACATTACATCGATCAAGTGATTTCAAACTAGAAAAGTGAGTTGTTTTGAGGAAATGGTTGATGAGATAATTAAGAAGTTAAATATGTCTAGTCTATATTGGTTCCATAGAGCTTCTAACACATAACCTGTTTCAATTTAATTCTCTCTATATATAGGATTGAGTTCCGGTGAGAAGAAAAGTTATGGTGAGAAACGTAAGAAAAGATCTTCACCCTTTGATCAATCCTAATTGAATGTCAACACTAATCAGGTGCACCAAGATGCACCGGATTGTGCAATTCATGAGTATGAGATTAAAAATGATCAAGGATTCAGATCTTTTCTTATGCTTCTCACCTTAACTTTTTTTTCTCACATGATCCTTTGTCTACGTTATATATATATACACACACACACATGCACACACACACACATAGATGGAGATTCAAACGAGATCATCTCTATTTTACGAAAACACAAGAACATCCTTATCACATATGATAATACATGTGAGGGAACTTGGTGGTGTGCAGACAACGTGCCTTACGACCTAGGTTGTGCCAAAGGTATTATGCGTCTTCGATGTAGTGTCACATGTGATAATACACGTGAGGTGTCCTAGTGATGTATGGACGACTTGACCCGCAACCTAAGTCTCGTTGAAGACCGTTCGATTCTTTGATTTAGTATCACATGTGTATAATGTGTGATTTGACTACAGTAAAAGATGTTCTCGTGTTCTTGTAAAATGAAAGTGTTCTCGTTTAACACCTTAGGTAACTGTTCATCACCCTAGGTAACTGTTCATCAGGACGGTATGCACATGTACATGCAAGTAACTTGTAAGCAATTTGTACGATATGCACATATACATAACAAGCACACGTGTATAAAAACCAAGAATCAGCTTCAACTACTTGTATCCACATGTACATATCATCCAAATGAATGGATTATCAAGGTATTTCTCGGTTTTTCATTTTTTTAAAGTTTTTCCTTGGGTTATTCTATCTCCACCCCCTCCTACACTCTTCCCCCTACATTTTCTATACCCCATCCTATATAAAATATTAGAATATACAAAATTCAATTTATTTTATTTTTCAGTTTTAACCCTTTGATATTTTCAGTTTTGACCCTTCAACTTTTATTATATTTTTTTATTGTATTTTTTATGTTTTTAATTTTTAATATAGATTATAATTATATAAATTAATTAACTTTATATTATTATTAATTAATAAGGTATTAATATTCTTTTAATAATTATATAAATTAATTAAATTTAGATT